ACTTGAACAGGGTGCACTCCACACCCTCGTCCAGGTCGCTAATGAAGATGTTGAACAACACCGGCCCAAGGACCGAGCCCTGGGGGACTCTGCTGCCCATACCCTCCCAGGTTGCTACACAACCATGGACCTGATGACAACTTGAATAGGCTACCTGCACACAGGACTCTGTAAATGTTTAATCATTACTTGATTCTGTTTTATCTACAGATCAAGGTGATTATGTATTGTGTCCTAACATTCAATGAAGGAAAGCACACCAATTCAAATGCTTCCATTTTAAGTGTGAACTATGTCCTTCAACTAACATGTTACAGCAGTGACGACTAACAAAGGAATACTAGATTTATTTTAAAAACCAAGGTGTTATGGGCCTCTACTATCTGTATTGTTGCTGATGGATTCAAGCTTTTATCCCAAGCATTTTTTTCCTAGTTTCAATATCAGTGGCTGGGCAATCAGGGACTTAACAGTCATTACTTAGCAAAGCTGACAAGGAGACATAGTGGACCTAAAAGGAGACAACGCTCTACCAGCATTATCACCCATTAATGATTCTAGGAAGCAAGAGAAAGAAAAACCACCAAGTAGGCAATAAATTAATCTTCAAAGAGAGAAGAGATGGCATTTGTAGATCTCCTTTACAAATTTGGCCATGATTCTGAAATCCAGTTGATGCACAATGTTACAGTGCGACTAAAAGGACAAATACACAAATATGCTTATGATGCATAAGCAGGAAAATCAGTGTAATGTGGCCAGGCACTTGGGGCATAGTGAAGTGGTACCTGGCACCAGTCATTTTTCTTTGTCTCTACACCCAAATTGGTGCCCAGAGAAGTTCCCCTGTCACCCTCCCCTAGTTACACCACTGAGGAAAATAATAACTATGAGCTGGGGATGATCCATGACATTGGCAAGAGATCATTATTTAAATCTTGCACCTAGTTCTGGTGTCAACACTTCAAGAGACAATATACAAGAAAGTGAACAGATTAACTGAAAAGCTGCATTAACCAACTAAGGTCTGCAAACTTCATCTGCTCTATTTATTTTGCTTATCCAAGGAGGAAGAACTACACTGTTATCAAATTCAAGTGCGTAGAGAGGGAAGACATTTCTGATCGTAGGTATCCCTTAAATATATCAGAAAGTCAAAATTAGAATCACTAGCTAGATGCTTAACTTACAAAAAAAAAAAAGACTAGAAATAGTACCCTATTTTTTTTTTTTAAAGTAAGAATGATTAACTAGTTACACACTGAAATGTTCTTAACAGTTTACTGGTATCACTAACCTTATCAATTTGCTCCATCTCGGGTAACTTGGACAGGGTGCCCTGTTTTGCAAATTAGGTTTGAGGCAACATTACCTCTTTTTAGGTTACAAATTTCACTTACAAGAAAGCAATTGTTACATTTACATCTCTTGAAACACATTCAGAAGTACATTACATGTGTTTCAAGAGTAATATTACCATATTTACTCAAATCCAAGATGAGGTTTTCCCCCCATTCAACATGGGGAGGGCTCATCTTGGATCTGAGTGCATGGTGGAGGAGGGGGAAAGGAGTTGCTGTGGCTCCAACTCCAGTCCTAAACCAAGTTTCAGAATCAAAGTAGCAGCAGCCATGTTACACCCCCTTCACCTGCCTCTACTACCTTCCCCCCACCCACCTGCCCCTTACCATCTGACATGGTTCCAGCCCCATTCCAGCTCAGGGCATGGAGCACAGGGAAGCTCTGGCCTTAGCCAGACCATGCAGCAACAGCAGAACACCCAGCTTCATGTTGGAAGATATGACAAAACGGGGTCCAAGCAGACCATTACTATGAATCAGGGGTAGACATTAGCAGAGATGTAACAAAGCAGCTAGGAACCCAGAGCATCAAGATACATGGAGGCAGAGACAGCTGTCAGCTGCCACTGGTGTATTTGTGTGTCTGCAGCAGCTGCTGCTATTTTTCTGCACTCCCCCACCTCCCAAACAGCATGCAGGGCTGTTGCTCTGGTCACCTCATCCTAGTTATGCTACTGGACATATGAATCCATGTCAGTTGCAGTCTTCAAAACTGTGCCTGTTCCTCCCTACATAACCAACTCAGTTAATTTTCAGTCATTTGAGAAAGTAAAGACTACAAGCCCAATAATCTTTTCTGCGATTGTTTAAAATGATAAAAAGTTGAGAGGCATCATTAACTAAACCTTTAGTTGGCATCATATAGTTCTGTTTTCTTGGCTAGAAGCAAGGACTAAAGTTTATTTGCTGTGTTTTGCAAAGAGCTAATGTGCTTTGTTACCAGAGGATAACAGGAATTCTGCATCTCTGAGTTGCATCACAAGTTAGGCTGTTACCAAATGTACTTCTAGCCTCTTCTAGTTTCTTTGCAGAAACCTTTGATGTTAAGTTACTTTAAAAATGAAACATAACAACAAATGTGTCCCTGTTCTCCACAGTAGCAACTATTTTTCAACAACATGAAAGAAAGTAAAAAGATCAAGCACAGAACCAAAATTCTGTCAATTATAAAGCAATAGAAGAGAATGTTTGTCTTACCTTAACTAAATGGATCATAGCATCTTCAAAAAATACCATGTCCATGCCTGCACCACGGATACTTTCATTGTATATTTGTAACAAGGTATTTAAACGATCCTTTAGGTGATTTAATGATTCAATTGGCTCATAGACTTTCGGCATATCAAAGTCATTTTCTTCCGGCTCTTCACCTGTGGTGAGAAGAAAAAAAGTATCTAAATTAACAGTGGATGGCTGGCTTTTTTCTCTGTAAAGACCCTCCTTTCCATATACTATCCAAAGGGGGCATTTCAATACTTCAGATCTGTTTGTACACTCTTTCTAAATTAATAGCAAAAGTTTATATTAAATCTAAATTAAATCAGGATTGGAATCTTATTTAAACTACTGTAGCTGGTAGAAAATGCCATACAGTTTTGAACTGTAGCATTCTTTGGACAGGGGGAGGGGGAAAAAGGCGGGAAATAAGTTTGAACCTTTCTGTTATGGGCAATATGAATGTACTGGTAATTCAAAAGGATAGATTACATACAAATTGCTGAGGCCTTTATTTAACATTAACAGATTGTCCCCTGAAAACTACCTTGGCATCCATTTGGTATATCCGAGACATTAGTTTAACTCTAGAAAGGGTAAGTATAATAAAATAAAAGATAAGAAACTTATCTGCCCTAAACCTTGAGTAAATTATTGGCAGTATCAAACTCGAGGCAACTCCTACAACTTAAGATATATTTCTTTATGGTGGTAGCTACAAATAGAATTAGCTGCTTTATATGGCTGTAAAATGCATATTTAGCATCTGAACATCAGATTACTACCACATTGAAGTTGCTATGCATTTCTTAATTTCTCCTAATTAATCATTCATTAGTTATTAATTTAAGTAATAGACAAAATATCACCTGTGCTGTGTAAAAAGGTGAGCAGTACATTTTCCTCCACCAAATACCACCATGCAACTTAATTCTATTTTGATTTACATTCACATAAGTCCCGCAATTCCAGCATTTTATCTACATGCCTCAGGAAGGTAATATAGTTCACTGCTTGATTCCTTATAACTATCAATTATCTCTGTGTCACATGGGACATGATTCTATTTATTGGAGACTCATTGCTAGCTAGAGTTTTTTAAAATAATTTTATGAGCACGATTAGTGCAGAAGTGTATAAATTTAGAAAACGTAGATAATTCCACAAAACTTAGTTTACTGAGAGTTGGGGGCAGGGAAGCAGAATCCATGATCTGAGGGCTATGTTTAACAGGAAATCTGACAGCAGAAATAGCTTAAGTCTTTTTGTTTGCTTACCTGTCTATCACATCTATACCTCATTTTGAATACCACAATCCACACATGCCCTGGCTTATATCATCATTATATATTTGCCAAGATGCACACACCATCAAGGAAATAAGATTTTAGTTTTGGATGTGAAGTTAAGTAAATGAAGAGCAATTTTGATTCACATACCTTATCTTGCCTTTACCTCGTGTCTAAATTCTTCTCATTGAAGTCAAAGTTTTGAGAACATAAATAACTCCTCAGTAGTGTATTTGCAAAATGTACAAATTCACTTGTAACACTCAAAGTTAAAATTAAATGATAAGTTTCATGTTAACATGCAAAATGCTAGGAAACACTGATTAATAATCTTGGGGTTGAAATAAGCATTTAAAATTTACTCTTACGAAAGTATTAGTAAGATATTAAGACAAAGCCATTTTTAGAGTAGCTTTCCAAATATGAATCTTTTTCTTCTCTACACAGAACACATCCTCCAAGACACTGTACTCTGAGCACCATTTCTAAAGTTTGTTGCATTTCAAATGTCTGCACATCATTATAGACCATGTATCTATAAATAAGACATGTTTAGCAAGCTCTAATAGTTTTTATACTGTTACATAACAGAATATCAATGCTTAATTCCAGTGTTACCCCTCAAACTGAAAGTCATACCAGTATGCTGAACCCAACTGCCCTGCACTTAGGCTGAAGATTTATTTTCTGTACATGACTATAGCCATATTCAGCAAATACTTTTTTGATCCATTCTGTTTTGCTCACACAATAACCTTACCTTTATGGGATGACTTCTCCTGACCTAATTTGAAGTTAAAAAGAAATTCCTCATTAAGCATGAGCAGCTTCTCCCCTCAAGATATCTGTGCATGCTTGGGTTACTTTCAAGTATTTTGCTTTGACTCATTATAATGTTACTCAGCTGGGATTACCACAACTGTAAAAAGTAGTTTTCAAAGGCAGTATATTCCACAATCATTGGATGTTTTCAGAGGGTTTCATTATTCCACAAAAAATGAAGTTAATTGCTTAATCCTACTGACGTCAGCATGAGCTTTACTCTGATTTTTAAAGACACTGATTTAAGATCCTGAATTCCAGATGACAATAGAATACCTCAAGTACTTGGACAGGCAACTAATGCAGAACTTCATTTTACAACCAACCAAGGGTATTGTCCCCATTTGTACCCACTGGCTGCTCTGGTCTCTAAAGCTATTGGAGAATGAAAAACAAAACTCAAGGTAGGTAAAAAAAGCATCCATAGTTTCCATCTCTTAGTATCCAAGTAAATAGAGCATTACAGTTTTAATCCCTGTCAAATGTCTGTCAGCTATGCCTTTTTCTAACAGTTAATGTAGAAGCTATTCCGTCTCATGCACCTGGTAGCAGGGACAAATATTATTGAAGTTACAATATGAAAATTTCGAAGTAACTAAGCAATTTTGTCATTATTTCCCACTTAAGAATTCTCAAGTTGTATCACTCAAAAGAAATTCCAAAATGTAATTCCTGTTCTTGTTCTCACTCTTCAGCATAATCAGAAATGTCTAATCATCCTTATTCCTAAAACAATAGGAATAGACACCCTCTCTTCAACCAAGGACTTGTACTCTGCTTCTCTTCCCTACCTGGACTCCAGCCCTTCCACTGAGTCTCTTTCTCCTGCTGCCATTGTGCGTGTGCACCAATAAGTTCATGGGGCTGTGTAGTGTGTTGTCTGTTTAATAAACCTGTTATTTTGAAACACCAAGTTGGGTTTTTGTCTGTTTCTTAACTGTTTCCTCCTTGCCACCACTTATCTGCCCCCAAGCTCGCAGCTGCCTGCCTGCCTCTCTTTCCTGGCTGTCTCCTTCTTGCCACCGGGCTTTTTCCCCACCTCACACCAGTGACCTCGAGTAACCCTGGGGCCACTTGACCTTAAGTAACCCAAAGCCTCAGTTCCTTAGCCCAGCTTCTCTCGAGTCTACCAGTTCTAAACCTGGTCCCAGCAACTTTCACTCCTTACACTTTCTCTCTCACCTTAACTTTCCCCCAGGAATCCCAAACACACACATACCATACCATCCAAGTTAAGAACTCACCTGTGTGTATGTGTAGGTGGGTGGTGTCTGTGTGTGTGAACAGGTGAATATCTATCTATCTCATTGTGTGTGTTGTTAGGGTAACGATATGGATTTTGGATGTTGGAGTAAACAATATAGAATCTAGGGAGTGCTGTGTGTGCAGCTGAATAAATGTTTTTTTCCTGGGTCTTAGCAGAAGCTGCTGGTCACAAGGCTGGATAATACATTAAAAGTAACCTCAGCAAAAGCCGCTGGTCACAAGGCTAGATATATATTAAAAGCAACTAACTCAGCTAATGCTTAAGTGAGAGAATTCTTAACAGGGGGTAGGGTGCACCGTGCATGATGTGTTAAGTAAAAATAGAACAGCCCACCAACTAGTGTCAGGAGACAAAAGCAGAAATATGGCCTTGGAGATGGTGCTAAAGTCAGCAAGAAAACCAGTGAGAAAGCACAAATGACCGAAAGAAGATGGGGGCCAAAGTCTTATGCATGTGCTCTTAGCAGAGAGGCATGTAAATGAATGAAATGCATAGGCAATACTATGCTAAGGAAGCAAACAGTAAACCAAGGTGGAGCTTGAGGTAGGAGGAGAAATGGGTGGGATGAGGGTGGAATAAATATTAATATGTTTGAACCAAGGTGTATAAATGTTGGAAAACTGTTGTTCAGGGCAGCTCCCTGGTTTGTTGTTTTTTTAGGAGCTAGTCTGAAGCTGTCTCCATTCTGAATAAAGCTTGTTGTAAGCACTGTGTGCTGATGTTTGCTCCCTGTCTGCTGTAGCTAATGAGCACCAGGATCAATGAGCAATTGGACCGTCATCTCCCTAGTCATTGGATGCCACATGGAGTCGTGGTCTAACATGTGTGATATACAAATTAGTGATCTGTGTATGTGTACGGAGTGTGTAGGTACTGACAACTGATTGTTGTCTAATTTTTGGTGTATGTAGCATGTGTGCACTTGAATTGTTTATAGGTATGCATGTGCCTAAGCTGATTTGGGTGCATGTATGTGGACACCCCTAACTGAGTTGTGTGTTTGTATATGTGCAATTGTGTCACACTCTCCTGTCTAACAGTGCAATTTTGAGATCCTGAGAGTTGGTCTGACCCCACAGAACAACATTACCTGTCACTTCCGGCGCATCTCTTAGGAAGTCGACAAAGTAAGCATCAGCTCCTGAATCCACCAATGCTTTTTTTTCTTCACCAAATTCCTCCTCAACCAGTTTTGCCAAAGATGTATCAAACCATTTTACATCCTCTAGGGTTGTGAAACGATCAGCAATAACATGCTTACATTCATGCTTCCACAACTTTATCAACACCTTTAGAGAAATTCAACATCTCAGTTGGATATTTATTACACAAGTTAGGAGACAAAATTTTGAGTTTACTCAGTATTTTTTTAACATCATACAATCTCCAAACTAACTGCAGTAATGCTTTGCTCTTATGCAGGCAAACCAAAGTTGTACCCTTTTTCAGATTTCTGATTCAGCTGAATCTCTACGTAAGTTTGTGTCTAGTATATAAAAGGAGTACATTATATATTTAAGACAAAATTCCAAAGAAGCCTCAATCTAGCATCCACACTAAAGAGTTATTTTGGTAAATGATTTACTTCCTTTGCAATTTTTTTGAAAGCATCCATAGTTTGAGGTAATTTTGGATAATGTTATCAAGAGTAATTCTCAAAGTTGGTGATGTAAGAGAATAAAACCATATCATATAGCCAAAAAGCATCAACCAGTTTACAGAAAATCATTGAATGTGCTTTACAGTAACTGTAGTGTAAGACTGATATAGTCGTCATGGTCCACACCTGGTGAAGTATATCTTGAGTTTGAAAGCTTGTCTAACTAATCTGAACCATACACTTGCTCTAATAGAAGTTTACAATAATTAAAAGAGTAAATCCTAATAAAAACACTTATTTTTTTTTAATGACAAAGCACTTATTTCCCATGCATTCAATTAAAAGGGGTACTTTTTAAATCCCAGTTCAGGCATTAAGTGGTCTGTATTGTTCTTTGGAACTTGAAACCCTTCAGCTATAGAAGTTGTGTATTTTACCTCATGGAGAAAATTAGATAATATTCTAAGAAATCCATAAACATTTTTCTGTACCCCAAATTGTTTCATTTAAGCAGCAATTAAGAAATGATCCTCAGAATTAGTTCTACTGAAAAAAAAAAAGAGTAGTAGATTTTCTTCTGTTCTCTCTGATTTTTTGGACAAACTGCTGTAATTGAGTTATCAGGTATGAACAAGGAATATCTTTAAATTAGTTAGTCTGGTTCCCAACACAAAGGGATTAAAGGGATATCCAAACATTTGAACTTGTAGATACAGTTAAGTGAAGCTACTTAGCTGTCAAGCAGGTAAGGATCAGTATAAAAGTGATTCAATAATGAAGCCCGCTAAACTTCATTTAATGAACCTGTAAGTCTACACCAATAATGGTTACACAAAGAGGGACATTACAAGATCAGAGTTCAAGTTTCAAAATTAAGAATTCAACAAATTAACTTTTCAAAGAAAAACTAAAATTAAGAGCAAAGGATTATTTCAGAGGTGTAGGTTGTACCCGTGTTGGTCTAAGGACGTAGGCAGACAAGGTTCTTTGGGTGAATCTGATATCTTATTAGACCAACTTAAAATAGTTTAAAGGATTATTTCAAATACTTGATTTCACAACATGAAGAATTATTCACGTTAAGTACAGAGACTGGTTTTAGTCTGAGAGCTATTCTCTCTTCCATTTAAAACCTCAAACCCAAGAATCAGGTACTGCCATTGCTTTAAAATTTCAACACACAGATCTTCAGAAAAATCATGTCATGTAGTAAAATATAGCAGAATATTGTTTATAAAACTGAACTGAATTTTAAGCTTTTAAAAATGTTAATATTTTAGTGAGCATAATAAATGGTAAAACTAATGCAAAGTTTAACTACAGTGATTTCAGATTACTCTATGAAATCTATAAAATGCTTTAAGTATTAATTATCAGTATCACTCGTATTGTTTCATCCAAGTGTTTGTGTTTTCTGTTTGGTTTTTTTAACTGCATGAAAGTATCTACTTTATATACCCAGTTAAGGATCAAGGACCCCATTTTATGTCGTGATTTCCAACACAGGATGAAGAAATATCATCAGAATCTTCCGAACTAAATATAGAATAAGTGATAAAAGATTACACAATGAGATGTTTCTTACTGTACACTGAAATTAATCTAATTGATATTTTTGGACGGTCAAGCCTCATGCATTACTTACATTTGAGTCATGGATTACTTCTGAGATAGTATTCAGCATTCCTTGCCAAATCCTTGACAGATCTCTGAGATTGAAGACGTAATGGAATTTGGCGGGGGTGGGCAGCATTTTTATTTTGGTAATTTGCCATAACCTACGTGTCAGTAATACCAATTTGGCTACAGATCTTCTCACATCTTCCGAGAAGCCCCGCTCACTACAATAATGCCCTAGTCCAATTACGCCTGGAAAATGCAAAAAACAAAAGTGAAAAAACAGAAACACTATTTTCACTTTTATTTTACCTAGAAAATACTTGTGCGCTGCAACCTAAAACAAAGCTGTCAGACTTTGCACTTCAAGCGCATTGCAAGGTTGAAAAACACTACGTAGAATTCACATTACAGTAAAAGCTGTTATCTGGCATCCCCCAGGAATGGGGGATGCTGGTTAATCAAATATTCCAGTTAATCAAATGTACACTATCTGGTGCACTCCCCAGTGTCAGTGTGCTGTGGGACAGGGAGTAGGGTCCCACACAGGCTGCTTTTTCCCTGGGCCAAAAAGGTGGCGAAGGAAAACTCAGCTCGCGACAGCGAAATGGGAAGTCCCCCGGAGGTGGTATTTCCAGTTTCGGTTTTGCTGCATCGCTTGGATGCCAGTTAATGAGAGTTTTCCAGCTAATAAAGTGCTGGTTAACACAGCTTTTACTGGATGTATTTAGTTTTTACTCCAAAGGTCAAAACAGTTTCTTTATGCAGGTGTACCACTTGCACATGCACCAAGAGTACACAAAATACCCTCTTTGCACACACGACTAGGAAACAAAGCTATGAGTTTTTTGTTCAGTAGTTAACAAAAAAAAGTCTTAGTTCCGGTCTCAATTTTACTTCTAAATGAAAATGTCCATTGATAAATGGAAACAGTTGAAAGCATTTGCCCATCTTCATTGCAGCCCTAACCCTGCAGCATCTTACAATTCTTTTAGGAAACTGAGGTATAAAGCAAGTAGGAAATAACTGGAAAAGAAAAGTAAATTAATTTGTTTTTAAGAGATTTAATTCTTCTGAACTTTCAGCTATACTCAACTAAGTTTTCTGTTTGAAGTTTCTTCAGTATTCTTAAGCTATGGTCAAATTCCTTAGCTTACAGGGAAAGCGT